ACACATCCAATCATCTTGCCTTCCTTATCAGAATAAAAATAAATTGGCAACCTCAAACTTAATATGCATGCCTATTAAGACATTGAGTGAGTAACGATTTTGTATCCTACGTACTGAGAAAGGCTTGAAATATTGATAGAAAAAAACATTTCATAAGCAGATTATGTATAGAAATATATAAAGAGCTTAGGTCTATTGAATTCTGACTCTGGTTCAAGGCGAAATATTTTAATTTAAAGTAGATTTCATAAACATGAGAAATTGTCAATAGTATGTATCTTTTCAACCATTAGAAAACTGCTGATGCAAAAGGCTTTGATCAACAGAACTATGTATACATATATCTAACAAGAGGCCAAGGGGGCCTGTATCGCTTACCTGGTTATTTAAGCAATCATGGCACAATATTTACATTTGCTCTGTAATGCCAATTTGTAACCACTTCAGACATGTAGGGTAAGAACTTGGAAGCGTTACTATGGAGACTTTATAATTCATAAAGAATTAAGGTTGTTACTATTACTATCACATTAGTTGGGTTGGAGATAAAAAGTATGTGATGGCTGTTCATTTGTCGAATTGTCTATATAAACAATACTAAACTTAACCCCCTCCCCAAAGGCAAATAAGGGACCTGGGGCACTTGAAAATCACAAAGTACATAAACCACTCGAAGGCCTTTACAACTATGAGTAGTATTTGATACTAACATTTCTGGAACTGCAGAAGAAGATTTTTGAAATTCGCTTCATTTTTCACCCCTAACTCAGCCCCCTAGGGGGTCAGACTAATAAATATTACACCAGCAGACCTCCCTCCCCTAACAAGTATTTCTGTCAAATATGAGCAAATTCCGTTCGTAACATTGGAAGATTTATTAGTATTGCCTATTATGTCTATTTCATATATAAACTATACTAGGAGACATGAAAATCACAATTTTTATAAACCACCCAAAGGCCTTTACAACTATGAGTAGTATTTGGTTTTAGCATTTCTGGAAATGGAGAAGAAGATTTTTTTGATTTTTTTCTACATTTTCCCCTTTTTGGCCTCTAACTAAACCCCCTAGGGGGCCACACCCTTATGTCATAAATCCATTGAGCCCCTGGTCCCAAGGATGCTTCATATCAAATTTAGTTAAAATCCAATCAGTCGTTCAGGAGATAAAGGCTTTTTTTTAAAGGGAAAAGTTTTGGGTAGGTGAGCTAAAAATAAAATATAACATTAAACCTTTCTTTTACACCAATTATTAGACAAGTTATTTGAACTTAAATTTTTCACTCGTTGGCCAGAATGTTAGTGTGTGGGTGTCTTATTGCGAGAGAAAACAGGGGTACCCAGAGTAAACCCACAAGGTCAGGCAGCTATTTATATGACACCATAACTAAAATGTCACGTCTGATTGGTGAATTGAACCCCGGCTGCCTTGTTGAAAGGCAAGTGTGTTATCCGCTGCACCACCCAACCACATAGATTTTACTGTAGTTCATTTACCCACAATCCTTGTCTCCAATTGTTGGAAATCGTTATCAATATAATAAGTATCAATTACATATCACATATGACCCAACAACATCCCCCATCCCCTTGTATTAGTATATCTCAAACCTTTTTCTGGTCCACTTTTACCCATATATCTATGATAATTTGTTGAAAGCATTCACAGGTAATTTTTAAATACAGCTGAGATTCTTTAAAAGAGCCAACAATTAGATCTAGTTGTCACCCTTTTTAATCCAGCAAGTACAGACTGGATATTTTCTCTACAAAACTCTTCCAGTAAAATCCTGCCATCTCATGGTACCGTACACATATATATATATATATATATAGTTTAAGTCTTGCTGGAAACACAGACAGCTGGATCATTGAAAAACTACATTTACCATCAATATTATAAGGAGATATAGTGTGTAAATACAGGCTTCAATATAAACACCTATCAAATTTTATTTTGTCGACACAACTACTTACAAGTGTTAATAATTAATGTCTTCGTACAATTGTATACATGTACCACTAAATATGAAAATCAACATGTTTCGCCCCTGGCATCTTAATTACACTGTAGATAAGGCAATATCTGCAGTAATCTTCAGACACACTTCAACAACAAATAGAAATTCCTTTCTATATACAACAGTGCTGGTCTAACCAAAGCCTACAGCTAAATACGGGATCTAAAAATAAAGAACAGGTTTGTTCAACAAGTTATATTTAACGTCTGGCAACAGTGTCAGTTTACTGAGCATAGTCAACTGACCACAACATTGTTTCGTTTCCTTTAATCATAACATATATTGAGAACTGCTATGTAAACATTATTGAATAATGTTCATATTCGATACATATTTTCCAAATTAATAGCAAAGGTTATTTTGATACATTTTTAACCTGATCTTTAAAAGGTTAAATGATGATAAAAAGTCATTAAAAATTGTCTATGAAGCTGTTAATGCTTTGATATTTTAAATTAAAAAGAAAACTTAGAAGGTAAATAGAGTGTAGGTAAAAACTAGCCAGGTATATAAACTTTAGTCAGATTATAAACACTCCCAAAAAACACTCCCATGCTGCATACAAATGAGTGATGGAAACTGAGCACTTCAGGTGAACATAAATGTTATTTTCACAGGAGTTAAGTTACAAGTTTCTGACACTAAATCTGTCTCAGAAGTTGACAACTAACATGTGGCTTTGCTACAGCCTTTTTACATAGATTTTAACGAGTTAAAAAGCCATAGACATGCAGAACTAAAAAAAATATTTTTCACTTTGAAATATTTTGTTCAAATGTGGTTAAGTTGGGCTTTATATAAACTTACCATAAATACATGTACAACTGAAAGTGTCAATTCTGAATAATATCTAAATTTTGACTTATTTTTCTTTTGCATACCGGTAATCAAACATTTACATAATTATGCATAACAGAAGATGTCACCACTGTTGGAGTTCAAAACACATTAGTAAGATCAGATGAGTACATAATTAGCTTGTTTAAAATAAGCCCGGATCCTCTTAAATTTTAGTAAGATTTTAAGGATATTGAAGGAATTTTCTATGATTTGATAAATTTGTTATTCTTCAATATTCTCATTTTAAGCTTTCCTTAAATAATTGGCAAAATAATGAAACATTTCTTTCCAGCTACATTGTATAATGTGAGAGTGCTGGGAAATTGTGTAACACATACAGCTAGGAAGCCTCCCTATACTCTGTTAATTAAGGAACAGGCTGTCCGACTACAACAGGCATATAACACTAGAGAGTTACACTGTACTCTTTTATACATATAGTTGTTACCTCCCCTTAATTTTGTTGTGCATATTACTGCAGTGGATTTTTGGCTAGGATACTACTGCTTATCAGGTAGATCAATTAGAGTGACCATACTGCTGTATCTGAGGTTGAATCTTAGTCTCAGGCCCGAGTTGCACTTTTACTTTTAGACCAATAGGCTACTGATCTTTCATTCTATTTCATCTTAATTACCTTTCAGAAAACTTCCACTTCTTATGAGTTCCTTGCCAGAAATGATTTATTAAAGCAGCTATTTTTTATAATAACCAGCAAAAAAGTTTCCGATCCATAGTTACAATTGTTGGCAGTGGAACGGAGATCCTGAAGTAATATTACTTCTAGGCATTCTAGCTGCTAGCTGGCATGCAATGTTATCACTGCACAATATTCCCAGGCCTGGTGTCTATAATTGTTCATTGATTACCCAGTATAGTGCAGAATATATATGTCCTCCCCCACCTTATCAACCGATATATTACAATGTCATAGCCCTCCAGGTTACAGAAAAACACCATTCCGACGGATCGCTGTCATTAACAATGCATGTGCTTAGATGAATCAATAACAATCACCTAAATTTATGGTTGCAGGACCAGCGTAGCGTGGGATATTCCACAATAATCACAGAGAAACTATTCAGCTGTTTAAATGTTAAATGTCACTTGTAAGTTAAGCGATAAGAAGTCACCACGTAATGATTGTGTCTGTGATTACACCTTAACTCATCCACCCCTGAAGACACATCTGAACTCTTCCAATTCAAAGGTTGGAATAGTTCATTATGATATTTCAGGGGTGAATGGGTAAACAAACTTAAACTTACCACTACTATTAGCAAACACCTTTAATTTTGAAAGCTTTTTGTAGCTTTTCAAAGAATATTATCTTTCAGTTGTTTAATCTCAACTTTTTGCTTCAAACAACTGAAAAAGTAGATTTGAATTTGGGGTGTCAACACTTTTGCTAGAAACCATATATACAGTTGTACTCTGAACTTTTTGCTCCAAACAGCTGAAAAAATAGATTTGAATTTGGGGTGTCAACACTTTTGCTAGAAACCATATATACAGTTGTACTCTGAACTTTTTGCTTCAAACAGCTGAAAAAGTAGATTTGAATTTGATGTTGGATCGAAGATATCATGCAGAGTCCTAGAAATTCTGAGGCAGACTCCAGGCTGTAGGTGCTTTGATATTTTATAAACTAGAAACAATTATGAAAGCAATTTGAAACTTCATACACCAAGGCTACCATACAGATATGTAAAGACATGAAATATAGATGCATAGACAGAGGGCCGGGTACAAAAACTTAACCTTCTTAAAACTGTGTTATTAGTACATGTACTAGGTTTCTATGATTTTGTTCCATTATATCAGGATGAACATTTTCGAAAAGACAAAAAATATTCCTCAACATTTGTGATATTTCTTATAAGGAAGTGACCATGTTGGAATATATGACAAATATATGTGTTTTCTTTTTGAATTATTTAAGATGCTCAATACGGCCGGGATGCATTTTTAAGGATTATACTCTGGAGATCCCATTTTTCCCCCAGGGTCTTAGTGTGATAATATATTCATCTACACATTTTTTTTCAAAATAGAGATTTCCAAATATTTATGTAGCGCTACTGTACATGTAGACTGTTAAGAAAAACATTCCACTGATGATTTCTTTCTTTGTTTCAGTTGAAGACAATGAGATGCAAGGTACAAGGTGACCAGAAGAACCATAGTTGAGCGAGGACAGATTATAACGACTTAAAAAAATGCAGCCAGTAGGAAGATATGAACAAACAAATGCCAGAATGGCACGTTATCGTCAATCCCATAATTCCTATGAAGAGGAAGATCCCAACAGTCCACGATCCATGAACAGCGAGCTATTTCAGGATCTGGATGTTCATATCACCCATCTTGATTCTGTGTCACAAAACAACTTGGGTTTTAATTTTCAAGAAACAGAGCAAGTGCATCACCATTACATACAAAACAAGGCATTTCAGGACACAGAAGAAGTGCGCCGACATTACATACAGAACAACAGTAATGGCAATAACAAGAGTCCACGTGGAGCGAAATTTCGCACGGAGTCGTCATCTGCCAAGGCTAAACTTGCCAAGATCATCACAGTGCCAGGGGCTGAAGATCCAAACCATTTAAAGTACCAACCTTCTACTCCGAAGACTGGTGAAAATCATAAAGGAGGACAATCCATCAAGGGCCCTGTTCAAGGTATACCGGTACCCCAGGGGACCGTAAGGGGAGTACCAGTATCCCCGAGGACAATGAAGGCTGTTCCTCACTCCCATGGGACAGTGCAAGCAAGTGCCACCTATCCAGGAAGTATGCGTGGTTATCCAAAGACCAATGGTCATTTAACGCAGAGCCGACGCAGAACCCCCAGTGCCGAGACCAAGACTGGTTCTATAGCATTTCGCAGACAACGGCCAGAACGAAAAGAATATTATGTCACACAATTCGACATAGAATTTGACAAACATGAACGCCACCGATTTCTACCAGGAGAGGAGCTCACTGGGAAGATAATATTTGACGTAAGTAACGAAATGGACATTCGTTTTATTGAACTATTGATAATTGGCCAGACCACAGCAACTCTTGTACAGCCGGAGTCTGGTGTATCGACCACAAAACGAGACGTGTTTCTTAGTAAACGCTCTTACATCATTGGTTCCCCTGACGGACGTTGGACATCACTCGTCACCCCGGGACACTATGTCTCCAATTTCCGTTTACAGTTGCCTGAAGGCATCCCCACATCCATCACTTATCAGGACAAAATCAACGGCTTCAACATGGAAACCACGTACCTTGTGAAAGCCCGGATTTGTGATGATGTAGGGTCGTCATCCTCAGCACGAAGTACACACTCCATGAACAATTTTGTCAAAGTGTTGGTATCACGCAAACAAGTGTTCCATGTAAAAAGACCTTTTGACATTCATTCTGTTCCTATGGCGATGACGCCTGTGAACCATGTTGAAGATGTTCCCATAACATGCTCTGTGTTCTCGGTTAAGGAACCTGCAAACATTCACATGTCTCTGGATCGGTCCTGCTTTCTTGCCGGTGACGACATAAAAATCCACCTCGAGACCGAAAACCGCTATGCAAATAGAATTAAAAAGATTACATGTGTTCTGAGGCAGACAGTTACTGTCAAAGGAGTCCGCTCCAAAGCCCAATTCAACATCGCCAATGTTGAAGAGAAATATCCGGAGGGCACCATCACAAAGACAAACAAGAGTAACATCATTTTCTATGACATCCATCTCCCAACCCACACAAACTTTTTACCTAGTGTCATGCCTGGATGTCGTCTCGCAACAATTCGCTACAGCCTCATTATGGGTGTCAGTTTCAAGACATGTGGCGGAAAGCTCGTGCTGGACATCCCGATAAATCTCGGCCCTTGTACTGATCCTGTACGCCTAGACAAGACTAATTCGGTCCCCTTCTTCAATCGGCCACTTCGGTTCCCATACTTCTCCCCACATTCGAATGGGACTGCCAATGGAGACGTACCCCAAGTCCTGAAGAGCCCCAAGTCAGGGCCACCAATAACATCCAAGTTCTCATACGGAGCATGTTCTAGCCGATTCTGCTGTTGTTGGGGAGACAACACATTGATATGAATTTCTTCAATAAACATGAAATCAATTTTTAATTATCACGAACCTTACCTGGATTAGTGTTTCGTTTTTCAAGATTTTATTCAAGGGATCACCAAAGTATCAATCAAGCTTTCAAAGTCTGCTTAAATATTTTATAAATTTTCACAAAATGTCTTTTTTGGAAAGAATACATTGCATTGCATTTGATGTATACGGATATATATATATATATATAAATATAAAGCTCTATATAATTTACTGAACGTTGTTAACATAAATATATTTATACATTAGTGACATAAATTAATTGCCCGCTTTTTAAGATGTACCAAGCTTTCTTCAGCTACCAGTGAATAATTCATTAAATCAAATTTATTTAAAATATGTATAGAAAATTGAGTACTTTTGAATCTATTCATTTGAAGGCGATTTTATTGAATCTCAGGACATTTCCCATATCTGTTCAGTAATAAGTCTGAGTCTGGTAACAGGTCCATGTTGTGTAGATATTACAAAGACCAACGCCCATACTGTGAGTCAGAGATAACGCATATGTCACTTGACTTATTGCAGGACAAACTAAATAATTAACCCTTTCACCCATATGTAGCTTCAGTCAACTCTACCATGCATTGATCTGGTTGAGTCCATTATGGTCTACAGTTATGAAAGGGTTAAGCACCCCTATGTAACTTCAGTAAACTCTACCATGCATTGATCTGGTTGAGTCCACCATGGACTACAGTTATGAAAGGGTTAAGATTACTGTATACATTTTTGCCAAGTCAAATTTTCGCCCATGGACAAAATACCCATTTTCAACCAATATTGAACTTGCCCTTCACATTTAGTTGCTATGTATATTATGTTGTTTACAAATGTTCGCTGTGATGATAAATCCTCCCTCATTATGGAGGGTGAAAAAGGTGAAAATTAAACTCAGCGAAAAATTGGTACATTTGTATACAGTATAACGGCTACATTGATTCAATTTTCCTGTAATGCATCAAAGTTTATTAATTTTATGAAACCTGATACAGCCAGGTCTGAGTATATTAATTAACCGTTTCACCACTGTAGACCATAAATGGACTCATCAAGATCAATGCATGGCAGACTCTACTAAAGTTACATAGGGGTGAAAGGGTTAAATATCTTGGAACTATGACTGGACATGCAGTATACATGAAATATATCTTATGTTCCTTATTCTGATGACACAGTGGGTAATCCTACATATGAGACCTGCAAAAAAATGATATAGGTGCACGTGTATATTCATTCTGAAGTAAACACAGTTAGTAGTCATGTGACATAACAGTACAAACAGTCATGGAGAGGGATATAGATATTATTTAGTACTCATCTTAGGTTCACAAGGTTCAATTAAGCTTGCAACAATCTTGCAGGGACTATATAGCTTGCTGAAAGTTTCAGAAACAAATCCCTCGCAAGCTTGCAACACAGATTCATTTATGGCTTTACTAGTTTATTAAGCTTGCTGCAATTTCAAAGGGACTAGCTCGCTGTAAGCTTGCAGGATGAAGTTGCTGCAATACTTTACAAGCTGGTTACTTCCTTGCTGCAAGCTTGCAGCAAAGTTCAATTACCAGCTTGCTGCAAGGTTCCAATTTCTTGCTTGCAGATTAATCTTGTACAAAAGGAAAATGCAAGCTTCCCATTTCTGTTTGGGATGTTATTGGTACTCATTACCTATAAGTTTGACTCTATAAATAATTGTGAAATACAGTAAAAAAAAAATCACTCAAAACTATATTGAAGCAATATTATAGGTATATGAAATAATGCACTTTATATTTTCCATATATTTGAATATTATTTTTCACATTCTTAATTAGTAAATTAATTTCTAATCTGTGTATCATTTAAAATCTCAGCAATAAAATACAATGTTAATTCAGTCTTATGAACACTAATAATGATATTTTTTGGCAGAAAGTTAAAAAAGGTAAAAAAAAATAATTAAAAAATCAAGTGGTGTATAATCTACATAAAATTACAGAATTTATCATCATTTGTTCAACATACTTTACGTACATGATATAGTTAATTGGTAGGGGAGTAGACCAATACACATTATTTACCATTCTGGATACACATATCAAGGAGGTTATTTGAAACTGAACACATTGGATTTGTGTGTGTATGCAAACTGGTCATTTTCTTTAAGAAATGGTGGTGACTACGGTATCTGTCTGCGCTTCATGTCGCTCCACATACAAACACAGCCATTAATCTGATGATTCTTAATAAAATAAAGTATAATCTGACACACTTTAGTTATTCTTAAGATTGATCACAATGTACCTGGTATATGTATGTGCACATATAAATAAAAAAGAAAACGAATTGTGTCCTGATTTTTTTCTCTCTGCTACTTGATGGATATCACCTGTACACAGTGATATACACTGTACACTCACATAAAATTTGTCCTACTATGAAAGCAAATCTAATAATTTACTAAATGAAATATAAGTGATATGCAAGGTCTTCAGTGGGGCCAGGAATGTTGATTCATAAACAAAACAAAATCACAGCTGCAGATATTATTCTTGTGTATCAGTAATTCACAACAAAAAGGAATTAGTCACAAAAATAATGGACTTACAGCTGGTACTCTTGTCTGAATACAATAATTTTCCTAATAGTTTAGTTAAGTGCTCTGTGTCCTAAGGCTAACAGCAGGTACATTGAGCCAAACAGTACATAGGCATGAGGACTAAATTCCCTGTTTATCAGCTACAAGAATTACCATAAAATGCATGATTATATATTAGTCTGACCAGTGGCTATCTTGCTGTATTTCTGACCAGTGGCTAACTTACTGTATTTCTTACTAGTGTCTATATTGCTTTATTTCTGACCAGTGGCTATCTTAATTACTGTATTTCTGACCAGTAGCTATCTTACTGTATTTCTGACCAGTGGTTATCTTGCTGTATTTCTGACCAATGGCTATCTTACTCTATTTCTGACCAGTGGCTATCTTACTGTATTTCTGACCAGTAGATATCTTACTCTATTTCTGACCAGTGGCTATCTTACTCTATTTCTGACCAGTGGCTATCTTACTGTATTTCTGACCAGTAGATATCTTACTCTATTTCTGACCAGTGGCTATCTTACTCTATTTCTGACCAGTGGCTATCTTACTGTATTTCTGACCAGTAGATATCTTACTCTATTTCTGACCAGTGGCTATCTTACTCTATTTCTGACCAGTGGCTATCTTACTGTATTTCTGACCAGTAGATATCTTACTCTATTTCTGACCAGTGGCTATCTTACTCTATTTCTGACCAGTGGCTATCTTACTGTATTTCTGACCAGTGGATATATTGTTGTTTTTCTGATCAGTGGATATCTTGCTGTATTTCTGACCCGTGGCTATCTTGCTGTACTATGTACTAAAATAAGTTAAATTAAGCAACAGACAAAAATTATCACCACCCTGGGCCTTTTGGTTATTTAGAAAAAAATATGTTTATATTAGCATTTGATCCCTGTGACCTTGAAAGGTGATTCAGATCATATTTGAACAAACTTTAGCCCTTCATCCCAGCATGCTGCTGACCAGATACCATCACCCTAGTTTTTTTTAGTACTGAGAAGAAGTTGTTCAAACATTTTAACATATTTCACCTGTGTGAACTAGAAAGTGGGCTAAGGTCATTTATTTGAACAAAATTGGAGCTTTTTCTCCCAGCATTTCCCCCCCAGACTTTTTGGTTAATCAGAGGAAGTTGTTAACACATTTGACCACTGTGACTTTGAAAATCTGTTAAGGTCATTCATTTCAACAATTTTTGTAACCCTTCATCCCTGCATGCTACTGGCAAAATATCAGCACCCTGGGCTTTCAGTTATTAAGAAAAAATATTTGAGATATTTAACACATTTGACCCTAGTGACCTTCAAAGTAGGTCAATAATTATAAACTTTGTAGCCCTTCATCCCATTATGCTACAGGCCAAATTCAGAAGAAATTGTTTAAAGATCTTAATATATTTGAACCCTGTGACCTTAAAATGGGCCAGTTGAGCTAAAAATCTATCTCTTTGCATTTCACTTCAACAGAAAAGTAAAGAGAAGCATATTTGAAAAGAATAACAAAGGTATGGCATTCCGTTTTGAATTGTAAAGGAACAATAGAGTATATTGTGGGTAGGAATGTTATACAATTTGAAATTCACTCAACCAGAACAGTTAGACAAACAGTAACAGCAATTAAAATATATCATCCAGAATACTCAAAGTCTCATCAAGTAAAACACATTGTACTTGTATAGAAGATAAGATTTTCTGGCACTGTTCCAATATATATCTAGGTACATTTCTCTCAAAGTGGGTTTAAACTCGCCATTAAATATAAACCTTAATAGCACAGTTTATGTGATCAGCATGTTTGAATATCTTAAAAGACGCCACAGTACACAAAATAGCACAAAAAACAGTAGTTACAGCCTTTATAATGCACTCAATCACTTTTACTCTCAAATTTGTCAGTGGGGGGAAAGCAAAATTAATCCACATGAAATATATTGTCATTGGTTTTCTACGTACATGGCAAAGTGTGAGCAATAAAATGGTCTTTAATTCCAGGAAGAAGTAGTCAAGAATAGTAGAAGAGTATAAAACTCGATATCACTCCTATGTGTTGTAAAACGAGACATCTCAACCAGAGATAAAGATTATTTAACTTGAGTATATGTAACTTTGCTGAAACCTGGCACATCCTTAAATGACCATAGCTGTTAATAGGACGTAAAACTCAATTAAACAAACCAAACTTTGCTGAGTGAAAATCTTTAATAAACCTTATCTCAATTGTTCAGATTTCTATGTCCGCATCACACAGGACTAAACAAGCATTTGTAATGGTGAACCCAATGCACATCACTGGTACTGCTGTGTAAGGTGATGACAGGATGGTGACATCTTTAGATATTAAAAAAATAATAATAATAATAATTTGAGGTTCTTATATACTGCTTTATCACAACCTAGTTTGTAGGTCGTCTCAAAGCAGTTCACAAATTATTATCCGTGGTTATAGGACCTTTGCAACCAGCCAATATCTTTCTCAACTCCCTGGGGAGCATACAGCCGGTGCTGCCATTTCGGCGCTAACAGCTAGCATTCAACAATTCTAGCGCTGCCCAACCACGTACTCATTTACAGCTGAGT